AGTGCAGGTTTTAGGACTATTATACATAGGATCCCTATGAGTCACAGGTGACCCAATGGCACATAACAACAGGTAGTTAAGTAGTATGGAGCTCTGGTGGCCTAGTAGTTTGAATCTACTAGGTGCTACACAGAAAAAAGATGAACATTGTTTACAACTTCTGAAAACCCCAGCTGAGTTGGTTCTGTCCTGACAGCACAGAACAGGCAGTCCTAAGAGAGTCCCTGTGGCATTGTCTATAGAGAGTTGTGCTACAACCCAAAGGTGACACCTCTGTGGTGGTTCAAATCCAGCAGTGGTTCCATTGCATGATGGGCAATCTCCTCCTATAAGATTTACAGTCCTTGGAAACTCAAAGGAGGGTCAATTATGAGCTGTTTCCAACTGAGGAAGAGAGATGTAGTAATAAAGAATTTGAATTTATAAGCTGACATATAGCCAGTCAGTAGATCTCTCTGATGACGTAGTGCTGGATTACCAACCAGAAAGGGCAGTGGTTTGAATCTACCAGTTGCTCTGCAGGAGTTAGACAGCTTATCTTCTCCATGTGCAGTTTACAGAAACCCAAGAAGAGCCGCTATGGGTTGCAAATAACTCACTGGCAAGGAGTTTGGCTTATTATTTTTTTTTAAGGTATACTGAAGGAAAAGAGCAGATAAAGAAAAACATTAATATTCTCTCATTTGTGTAGGAGAACACTTACCCATTTATGCTATATTTTTAAACAAATAATATCTGCATTGTTTTCTTCGGAAACTGAAGAACCTTTGTGTGTTAGTTTCCTGGAAGCGCTATTTGGGTGCATGAGTTGTTTGTGTGAGCAATTCTATGTAAACCACAGAGTATTTATTTTCTTGTGCTGTGCACACTTAGGCCTTTATTTCTGTAAGGATACATAATAAACTAACATCATTTATCGTCTGTAGAAAGACGATTAGGTCATGAAATTAAAAATGCCCCAAATTTTCAAACTCATCCCCGTAAAGTTAGAGCCACCTCGCAGCTGCCCCTCCAGTGGGTTACTGGGCGGCAGTAAATCACATGGGAAGAGATCACCCACCTTTCTCCTGTGGAGCTGCTGGTGGATTCAAACCACCAGAGGTCTTAGCTTTGCGTTCGAAGACTATTCGTTAGAGACTACTCCATTTAGAGCAAACGTTGGAATAGGAGACTTTTTTTGGATGCATAAATTCCTTGGGTTATGAACAACACCTGTTCTTGTGTCTTAAGAATTTGTAGGTAGATCAGGACAGGTGCATTTAGCTATTAACCTTATTTTCAAAGAACACATTATTGTTGACTGAGTCAGGCACGACTCATACCTACCCTCTAGCAAGTTTTCTGAGGTGGTAAATCGCATAAGAGGATGTTGTCCATCTTTTTAGAAGTCACTGCGCTTTTGAATTACCAGGAGACCGACCTTTGAGTTAGGAGCACAAGCTGCCCACAGACTATGCGACTTGGAAGCCTTGTCAGTGGGTCAGAAGCTGCACATGCAGTAAATGAATGTGACTGTGATTGATTTGCTGAACTGATTCTTGTTAGTCCTGGCAGATCAAATATGGCAGCCAACAGTGTTGTCTTGAACATGTGTGGCTCTCCACAGTCCTGCCAATCTCATGCATGAGACTCCTTGGGAGGGCTCACTATTCCTCTTCCCAGCCTTATTCCAGGCTGAAAATTCAAAATTTTCCCCTAGAGTTACTGTGATGAAATCACCCAAATTGTAAAAATATGCAATTCTTTTATTTCATTGGCCAAGGCAGCACTACTTCAGAGGCCTGCATTTGAAGGCACGTAAGTCAGAGCTCATCACTTGGGGGTTGCTGGTATATCCCCTTTAAACTCTGATTTTTTTAAGATTTTGTGCCTGAACCTACACAGATCAACTCAAAGTACTCTTCCCCCCTAAATTTGTTAATCCTGCCACTTACTTTAATGCAAACTTTGGGGTACTATACTTACTCTCAGCTTTACTTTTTATTACAGAAACTAGCTTTTATTCATGATGTCCTCATCATTCACTATGCATTTATGAAAGGAGCCTTGGTAGAGCTGTGTGTGTGCTAGGCTGCTAACTAAAAAGTTGTTATTGTGTTTTGTGCTGTTAAGTCAAGTATGACTCATAGCGACCCTGTGAATAACCGATCTGAACCATCCTCACCATTTCCGACATCTTGAGTCCATTGTTGCAGTCCTGTGTTAGCTCATTTTGTTGAGGGTCCTCCTCTCTCTCTCTGGTTCTATCTCCCCAGCATGTCGTCTTTTTTTCCAAGGACTGGTCCTTCCTGACAAAGTACATGAGATCAAGTTTCACCTTCCTTGCAGCTTGCATTCCCTCCGATATAGACTTGTTTGTTCTTCTGATAAGTATGTAGGATAATCAGTATCCTGCTCCAACCAAAAAGTTCGCAGTGCACATGCACCAGCTATTATTATGAAAATGGGCCTCCTTGGGGAGCTCTGGTGACCTAGTGGCAAGGAGCTGCAACTACAATCCCAGAGGCACACGGTTCGAATCCACCAGATGCTCTGCCGGGAAAAGGAGGGACAATCTCCTCCTGTACCAGTCAGATCTGATTTGACGGTACACTCACACAAAAATAAAATAAAATAAAAAAAAGGAAAATGGGCCTCCTGTAAAGATTGATGACCTTGCCTGATGGAGGCTCACCGTGTGTCAGACTTAACTCCATGGAGCTGATATACATGTGATTTAACCTATTTAACCCACTCCACGTTAATGACGTGTCTTGTCTCTATGTTACAGAAGAGGCTAGGTCGGAGAACCACAGCTTTAGATTTTTGTATGTCTGATATAAAATCTGTTCCCTTATTTACCACCTCCCCCCCACCAATACTCCCTTCCCCTGTGTTCCTGAGGATAGAGTTGTGTTGCAAATGGAAAGGTGAGAGACCTAACCCACCAGCTGTGCTTGTGGGAAAGATGAGGCAGTCAGAGCTCACGGAGGTTTAGAGCCTGGGAACCCTGATGGAGGGTGGCTATGAGTCAGGATCAATCTGACCACAGTGAACCCACCTTCCCCCAGAGCCTGCATCAGACACAACCGTGTCAGGGAGGGCGGTCCTCCTGTACCCATAAAAGCCAGAGCTTACAAAACTCAGGAACATAGCGCACCACGCAAGTGTTTGCATTCAAAATTTTAATAATAAATTGTGCCAATAGAAGCTTTTCAAAGGAAATGATATATCAATAAATAATAGTTAAATTGAGTTCCTGAGAAAGGACCTACCACATGAAAGTATGTCAGAGCGCAGTACATGACAAAAATGGCGATACAATAAATGGCGGCAAATACTGACAGTCACGGTACAAGCATAGCAGACTTGGGAATATGCCATTCATACAAATGTAAACAAGTACACAGGAATAGGACTCTAATATATATATATATATATGTATATATAAATTTTTTTTTAGTTTAGACATTGATAAATTTATAAGTGTTGTTTCCTAGATACTAAATAATGGATACATTATGCAAAAGACTTCAAGGAAAAAAATATGTGGAATAATATAATGAAAAATATGATGCATCAGATTTTTTTTTTAAAAAAGCAGGAGAGAATTGAACTTTTTACTCAAATAGAAATTGCCTTCAGTAGGATTCATACTAATTTGAAATCAGGAATAAATTTTGTGTTTATCTATATAGTGTTACATATATATAGTATCTCTAGCCTTCTAAGGAATAATGTATGGCTTCATAATTTTCATATCCCAATATCACTTTGGATAATCCTTGCTCTTTTACAAAGACTTCAAAAACTTTGTTTTTCTTTAAAAAAAAACAAAAAACACCAAAAACATAGTTACGGTCTGATACTTAAACAAAAAAAGTGAAGGAAATGTAAGATTACTAAATCTCTTTGTGTAACACCTCAGCTGCTTAACACAACAGGAGGATAAACCTTTCATTTAAATATCTTCATGTGGGCAGTCTGCTGGTGACAAAATGAAGCGGTTTGGGCATAGCTAGTGAATTCTATGCATTAGCTATCCCCAATATGAGAATAGACTGACTAGAGAAATGAGTATAGTTCCACAATTAACTTAAACCTCTTTTGGTATCGCTAAAACTAATCCCTTTTGACATACTTAATTTTAATTACGTGTTAAAGATCCTTAAGTTTACTACTCCCATCCAATCACACCCCAGAAACACACACAAACTGCTTCTCAGTTACACATCTGCATTTTTCTTAAAAATAAACAAAATAATGAGGGATACAATCATAGCAAGGAAATCAACCACACAATACATTATCCACACGCTGTCTAGAACATCTCATCAAAAGATACTCGGTAAAAGCATATTCACAGGACCTGCTGTGAACGGCAAGATACGGTAATTGTTTAAAAGAAAAAACCCTGCTCAATGCAGCATTCACGACACACCCGCCAGCTGTGATCACAGCTGCACCACCACCTTGCTCACACTTGCTACTGGATTAGAGTATGCAAAAAAAGGAGACAAAAAAAGCAGCCTTGAACATTACGTCACAACGTTGAAATGTGGGGGAAATACAATACAAAAATCATTGTGTGAATAAAAATGGTATTGGCTAACTTCAGAGCGGAGTGTTTTTGTTTTTTTTTCTTGTTTAAATTATTGCACAGAGATTTTCTTATCACATGTTCTTCAGTTTTTGCCCTCTCCTAAGTGTGAATAAGTGCTATGGATAAAATACAAATGTAAAAACTAACAGCAGCATGATTTGTCAAAGTTAAACCCTATAATTTAGTAAGAAAAAAAAAAGTAAATAAAAAAAATAAGTGCTCTTTTAGACTGTACTAAATTTTAAAAAATAGTGTTTTAATGCGGTGAAGGTCCCCAAAAGCCAATTAATGTAGACCCCAATCAACTGGGTCTACAATTGAAGATTTGCTAGTCTTCTAACTGGTTCTCTGTTGTTGTGGCAGATCCGAATTCCATGTAACCTCGACGGACTGACTCACGTCCTTTGCCAGCCGGCATCTACACATACACAGGCTGGCAGCCTTCAGCCTGGTCCCCTACACTGGCACTCCCTCCCTTTGCACTCTCAGACTGTATGGCTTCCACTTGCAAGGGTTTAGGACATCGGAAAGGATAGCCATTGTCATCGAAGAACCTTCGGAAGGTGAACTCATAGAAGGCATGTTCAGGGTGTTTGTTGCTGGCAGAGGTGAGTGTGTCCCAAGCCTTGGTGCTGTCTTCGCTGGCCTGGTCACTCACGTTTTCCTCTTCTTCAATGGGGTCAAAGTTGGAGGTATCCATGGGATGACTGATCTTGGGCACGTAGGGGGCAGGCTGCTTCCGGATGTCGCTGGAGAAGTCGATGGCACTGAAAAAAGGGTGGGCCTTGAGTTCGTTGGTTCCAGCCCTGCCCAATCGGCTATCGGCAGCACAGCACAGCTTGGTGATGAGGTCTCGGGCCTCAGGGCTTAGCTTGGCCTGGGGTGGGATGTGGAGTGTGCTTTCCCAGTTTATTACCTGGAGGGACAGGGAACAATCCTTGAATGCTTAAACACACACAAGGACAGCCCAGGGTAGTTTTGGGCCTCTGTGTGATGACACATTAACTTTAGGGAAGCTCAGTTTCCTAACGGGAGAATAATCAGAATAGACTTGGAAGCAGCAGTTGCTTATTTGAGAAGCTATACAAAGTGACTTTTCAGCTGGAGTAGCATAGAAAGAAGGAAGGTCTGTAAGAAGATACAGAATGTGTGGCTAATTACTTCCATAAGGAACTGGCACCTCTCCCATGAAGCCAGGAGAAGTAGATGGGGCCGGGCTACCATTATTGAACATTTTGATCAATGATTCTATAAAGGAACCCAAATCAAAAGGGAAGAGGGATACAGAACAGAGTTTAGAATTCTTAAGGACTCTAGACTTTCTGGAGGCATGGAGGGTAAACGAATCCCTCAAATCAATGCCAAGTGTGCTTTGAGCCACTGAGAAAATTAGACAGGAAGTTTAGGGGGCAGTGAGTTCATGGTCATAAAGGAACACCACTTTGGAAATGGAGGGCGAGAATGGTCACGGAACTCGAAGAACGTAATCAATGTCACTGAACTGAGCATGCATATACCATTGAATGGTGTATGCATTCCTGTGTATATTCTCAAAGATGGTAAAAAATAAATACGTGGGGGGGAAGTTACTCTAGTTTCGGTAGGTGGGTCATGGTCTGCGGTGCAGGATAAAGCCAGCCAGATAGGAAGTTTGCTTTTATGCCTAACATTCCTGAGCCAAATGACTTTGCCCTTTGTAAAAAAAAATTAAAAAATGAAGGCACCGAAACCTCTATGGGTTGCTTCTTTATGGCAGTGGGTTTGTGTGGAACCATCCTATCTCTCATTTAGGACTTACACCAGCTGAAGGAGGGTCAGCTGGGTTTTGATTTTAAAAATAAGAAGGAAACTGGGGGAGCTCTGGTGGCCTAGTGGCAAGGAGCTGCAACTACAATCCCAGAGGCACACAGTTCGAATCCACCAGATGCTCTGCAGGGAAAAGGAGGGACAATCCCCTCCTGTACCTGTCAGATCTGATTTGACGGTACACTCACACAAAAATAAAAAAAAAAAAAAAGAAGGAAACTCATAGGTTCAATGACTCTGTCCTCATGCTGTGGAGTTCAGCCACACAAACTAGCCAAGAGATGCTGAGAGAGAAGGGTCTACAGGGATAGAGGACCCACTGGCTTTCTTCAGTGTTTATACTGAGAAGCAAATTCAAGCAAAGCCGACTAGGACTGAATGTATAGGCAGCGGATGAGATATGGAGATTGGAGGGTGCTTTGGTGGGGAGAAAGCTTTGAGCCTGAGCAGTTGTTTTCCTGTTTTTGGAGAAGCACATGAATATTGTGCTGCTTTAATGAGGAGAGAGGCAAAATGGCTTACACACTTCATCTTAGTAGGTAGCAAATAACTGTAAGGGATGTGAGGTTTTTTTTGGGACACATCCAGTAAAATGGTGTTGGATCAAAATCTTAGTTCTGTACTGGCTTTCACATCAATGCTGTCTAATCTTTGTATCAATGATTCTAAAGAAAAAAGGTGTGGTATTCAATAGTGTAAAACCAGACTGCTTAATTAGATTTGCATAGAGGGATCAGGTGAGACTTATGGGGGGGGAAGGGAAGTAGCCATTGCCTTTGCGTCCATTTCAACCCACAGCAATCCTGCAGGACAGAGCAGACCTGCCCCCCAGGATTCCCAAGGCTCTACACCTCTATGGAGGCCAACTGTCTTGCCTTCTCTCAAGGACTGGCTTGCGGGTGTGAAACCTCTGCTTTTCATTTAGTTCACCACTGTGCCACCAGGGCTCCTCTGGCATGGTGTAGAGTTTCTTAACCAAAGACCTGAGAGGAGGCCTAGTGAACATAACAGCAGCCATCTGGATCTGTCAAGAACTAAGAGAATGAGGCATCAAATCATGCGCCTAGAAATTGGTGATATGAACTTTCTAGGAAGCTCTCCTGAGTGAACTGCAGGGGCAATTACAAAGATTTAGCTCTATTAAGATGCTGAGGGTGGGGAAATTCCCTAGCATCCTAGAGCAAATGAATTGGTTTTTTATAACATATTGGTTAAATTATGATCTATTTATATAGAGAGAGCTCTGGTGGTGTCATGTTGCTGTGACTAGGAGCTGTCGAGTTGAGCATGACTCATAGTGACCCTATCAACAGCAGATCATATCCTGTGCCAACCTCACAATCTCTAATACACGTGAGCCCACTGCTGCAGTCACTGTGTCAATTCACCTGGCTGAGGGTCTTCTCCTTCGCTATCCCTCAAGTTGCATTGCTAATCCAAAGGTGCTGCCTCTCTGTAGTTCAAATCCACCAGCTGCTCTGTGGGAGAAAGATGGGCAATCTCCTTCCACAGGAATTACAAACAGAAAAGCCGCTTCTGGGTCAACAGTCAGTCAGTTCCAATGGACAGTGACCAATGAGTTTAGAGTATGTACTACGGACCACTACACAATCAGGTAACTAACACCGAACAATATTAACACATTAGCACTAACTAGAGGAGCAGTTCACTGGAACCTAAGGGAGGGTCAGCTGTGAGTCGACTGACTACACGGTAATGAATTGATGTCAGGTAATGGTATTTCTCAAAACCGGGCCTAATTCTAATGTCTTCATTTATAAATTTAAGAAAAATAGCTGATAATATTTTTAAAATCCCATTATGCACAAATGGCATTCCTATACTTCTTAGAATAAAATGCCAAACGTTTATCAGGGAGTGCATCAGAAAACCACTAAGCTTTCTCTACAACCTGACAAGTTTCCTCCTTAGTTACCTTCAGTTGGGTTTCTGTGGGAGTAGGAGCCAAAAAGGGTGGCTGCCCCACCAGCATCTCGAAGAGAATCACCCCAACGCTCCACCAGTCACACAGCTGAGTGTATCCTGTAAGACAGAGGGGTCACCGCGTCACGGCCTGGCATTCACCACTCCTCAGACAGGAGTGTTAGAAGGTGCAGAAAACACCTATAAAAACGATCTATCTGTAGATCTGATGCACAGCACGGAGTACTTCTGGGCTAACAAGGGAGGACAAAGGGGACCGTGTTTGCTTTGGATCTGAGATGGTACAGCTCAGCAACGAGCTGAGTGAGGAGTTCAACCTGAAGTCTGAAAATAAGTGGCTTAGGCTGCCTGAGAAGTAGTCCTTGACCCTGACAGCTGTGTCTATCATGTTCCCAAAGTCAAGCCCAGTTCTACCTGGGCTCCATGTCAAAAGCCTTCACTGCAGACTCGTCGCCCTTTGAGGCGAGGCTGTGGGACTGACCATAGGCAATTTTCTATCATTCCAAGTCAGGTAAGCCCGAGCCAGCGGGGAGTTACCAAGAGGCTTATCTGACAAGGGAATCATTGAGTTCTGAGGTCTCCATGGGCATAAGACTGGTTAGTATCTGAGTATCTGGAGTCTCAATGCCAGAGTAGGAGAGAACCCCAATAGTCACCTGGCTCCACAGGCTGCAGGTTAAAGACTGCTGTAGCCTGGGAAGCACTCAAATAAGAGGTCTTGGGCACACACCTTTGCGAAGGAGCACCTCGGGAGCGATGTAATTTGGCGTCCCTACCAGGGAGTGTGCCAGACACCTCTGGTGCTTCCGTGCCCTCTGCGCCAGGGTCTTCAGCCGGTCTCCACAGCGACAGTTAGACACGTCATCCCAGAGGTCGCTGGGCTCCATGCTGTCCTGCCGGATGTGGTTCCCTTTCACCAGGAGTCAGGGCAGTGAGAGGAGAGAGACAAAACAAGCCATCTTCAGTACTGAATGCAGCAAACCCACAGCTTCCAGTGGAAAGGTAACCCAAACAGTGCCCTCATTGTCCCATGGGGGACCTGCTCTTCCTGTGGCCTGCAGCACAGGCCCATTAAACATCAACCGCAGGGCAGGCCCAATGGCTGGAGTAACAGGGAAGGACTGCAGCCTGCTGAGCTGGCAGTGAGAAAGAAGACATGGTCCCTCACGAGTGCCAGTCAATTTCAAGACGTCTTAGTGCCTGCTTGGGTAACGCCTTACTCAAAAGACAGAAAAATGTCAGGGGATTTAATAAAAAGGGGGTGGGTAGGAGGGGCAAAAATAAATCAAATGTCATAAAATGGGAATACAAATGAGTCAAATGATTTAGGATTTGCTCTGAGTTAAAAATAAAAAGTCAGAGTTGTGTTATTAAAATAGCAATTACAAGAATCTGAGCAATAAAGACGACAATCACCAGCTGTTTGAGGCTTTTCCAAACAGCAGAATGACAGGAAACAGGGATTACACAAGGAGAGAGGTCCAGGTTAGTGGGAAGTCATTGAGCCTGGGAGAGTCTGCAGTGGGGGCTTGTGGAGTTTTTCCACTTTTCCTGGCTCTGTCCAGTAGGGTAGAGCTTTCCTCATGAGGGCTCAGTGACACCCTACAGCCTGCTATCCCAAAAATCCTATGAAGAAACGTCAATCTACAAACTTAAAACACGTTTCATACACATTGTACTCCTCCTTTAGGGAGAAAAGGATGTCATGTGTAATTAAAAAAGTGAAGGAGCGACAGGGTTGGAAGTCAGAGGTGAGCAGGATGATGGGAAAATATCGTCTCGAGCACTTCCTGTATATCATCTCGGTCTAGAGAGGGGACAGGACCACAGTGACGTGCACGAGACAATACCTTTCTGGTAGTACTTGGAATTGTGAGTCCATCGGAACCCAGTGCACAGGCCAAAGTCAGTCAGCTTGATGTGACCGTCCATGTCGATGAGAATGTTGTCTGGCTTGATGTCCCGGTGGATGAAGCCCATCTTGTGCACGCTCTCGATGGCCAGTGTCAGCTCGGCAATGTAGAAGCGGGCCAGTGACTCAGGGAAGACCTCGAGACGGATCAACAGGCTCATCATGTCCCCTCCAGGGATGTAGTCCATCACGAAGTACAGGCTATCCTTGTCCTGGAAGGAGTAGTAGAGCTTCACCACCCACTCATTGTCCGCCTCCGCCAGGATGTCCCTCTCTGCTTTGACGTGGGCCACCTGGTTCCGGTTCAGGACGTCCTTCTTCCTCAGCGTCTTCATGGCATACAGGGCCTTGGTGTCCACCTTGCACGTGAGGCACACCTCCCCAAAGGCACCAATGCCCAGTGTCTTGATCTTCATGAACATGGACTTGTCCATCTTGGCCCTCTTCAATCTGTTGTAGTTGGACTCCTTCTGGTAGAGGATCTTTCTCATCTGCTCCTGCTCGGCTTCGCAGAGGCCAGCCTTGGCGGGGGAAGAACATACAAGGAGGCAGAGTCACACTGGGGCAGCCTCACAGGTGAGGAGACCCTGACTGGACAGAGACAAGAGAACACTGAGAAGAGGGATCCCATGACCACATGCAGGGTGACTACTATTAAACCAGTTCTTGAACTAGGTGACCTTAGGCTCTAAAACTGAAGAAAATAGATGAGTAAAATAGAATTAAAGGGGGGCGGTGAAATCTCTGCAGAAGGAGGACAAAAATTGCTTGGGTCTACAAGAGCAAGTTAATATTTCAGCTCAGAGAACATGAGAAACAGGAAAACAAAGGGAAAAATAGTAAAGGGGACATCAAGACGCAGGCACACAAATTTGATCTCCTGAGTTAGAAATTATTAGCTTTGTGTGGTGCAGTCTTACTTTAAATAAAAACTCCACCAACAATGAAAGTATATTACATTATTATTTAGCAATCCTTGGTGAATTTTATTTAAAGAATACAGATGTATCATGTGATGGTAATGTTATGTGTCAACTTGGCTAGGCTGTGACTCTCAGTGGCTTGGCAGGCATTATGTAATCGTCTTTCACAGTGTGAGCCGATGTTGAGCAGCCAATCAGTTGAAGGGGAGTTTCCTTAGGGGTGTGGCCTAGATCTAATATATAAATGGATGTTGTGGCTAGTCAAGCTTGCCCTCTTTCTTCTTAACACCTGATCTCTTGTTCTTGGAATGCAATTCTACAGATGGCCCTGGCTTGTTACCCATCCTACATACTGTGGGTTCATCAGACCCTACAACAATATGCACGAGCAAAGATCTTCAAACTTCTGCCTGGATATAACACTGCATGAGCCATTCTTTTAGAATACTTTTTTTATATGGCAAGGTTCAGATCTATCGTTCATAGGGTTGCATGGCACCTAACAACAACAATCTAGTTATCATTTTATGCTTCACTGATTTTACTTCTCTAGAAAACCCAGAGATACACCATAGACAACAATTTGATGATTCACATTAGCAAAACAAAAATACAGGATGTGGAAAGCACTTTCATCAAGTCTCAGGGGCAAAGGGAGACCAGGGTTGCTTAGTTAAGTCATGTGCACCCTTTATAATGTCACTAGGTGTTCCCAACAGAACCAGGTAGTCACTTTGTGTGATGGGTCTGTGATAAAGATGTATAACCAAACCCAATGCCACCGAGTTGGTTCTGACTCAGGGAGCCTCTCCATTGGGTTTCTCAGACTGTTCTTCGTCATGGCACGAATCTTCCATGTTGCCCCCCCAGAGCAGGTGCATTCTACCTGCAGATCATTTTGTTAGTAGTGCACATGATACACTAAGCCACACTAGCTCCTTAAGGCTGTTTAAAGCAGACACACAAAAAACCCAAATTCTGTGACCCGCATTCCCAGGGAAGGAAAGAGGTAAGCAAGCAAGGAGAAATTACTCTGGCCATTTCCTGCTCCAGCTGCAGCCTGCGGTGGACCTTCTGCTGGTAGGTTTTAATAACATTTTCCACGTGCTGCTCCATGTAGAACTTAAAGGCAAATGGTGAGTAGCTCTTGATGCGAGACTCCCTCTTTTCTTCATCGCGGCTGCTCTTCCTCACGGGGACAGGGGAGGTCTGGATTTGCTTCTTGTCCTTCACCGCCTTCTCCCCTTTGGCACTCTTGGGACCCTTGTGGCCCCTCTCGGTGGGTTCGGCAGCCGGGGCCGCTCGGAGACCCTGCTCCAGCCCCACGCACAGGCTGTCCACATCGTATGGCTCCGACTTACTCGGCAGCAACAGGTGTTTTGGGTAGGGAGGGGGTGGGCAGTGCATCTCAGGGCTGCTGTACTCCACGTCCAGTGGGTACGCACATGGGCCCCGCAGGGCAAGGGGGGGCTCGTCCTTGGGCTCCAGGCTCTCTAGGACCGGACTAGGTGCCGGCATCCAGGCAGGGTGGGAGGGTCCCACGGCCGTCTGGGGCTCTGGTCTCAGCACTCTCACACTCTTCACTGGGTGCAGGATGTGGGCAGAGGTGATGGCAGTGATGGTGTTGGGAGAGGGCATGGAAGGCTCGGCTTTGCAGGGGGCTCGTGCCCTGATGGGCCCTGCCATCTTCTGCTGGTGATTGTTGAAGGAGCTGGTTCTGCGGGGGGCAGGGCCATCGGGCCGGAAGGGGTGGTGGTGGGGGGACACCTCGAGGCCCGGCTTCTGCAGCGTGTCCCGGTGGGCCAGCGTGGAAGACGGCATGCAGGTGCTCACGTCATACAAGTCCATGTTCAGGCTGTTCCTTGATGGGGTGAGCAAGCTCTGTGGGGGGCTATCACCCACAAACACCTGCCCTCGAGGGCCCACCATGTGTATCTGGTGGGATGAGGGGCTGTTAGTGGTCTTGTAGGGTGAGTAGGGTCGGCACAGCCTGGGCACGGGGCCCGAGGGTGGGAACGTCAGGCCAGTGGAGGGCTGGGCCCCTTGGCCCTTGGATGGCAGATTGGCATAGCCTGCTCCCTCAGGCAGCCCCTTGTTCTGAAAGGAGGGGCTGCGCTGGAGGCCATAGACCAGCGGCTCCCCCTGCACCATGGGGTGTGGGCGGCTGTAGTGTGGACCATTGGGGACATGCTGGCCCGGGAGGGGCAGGCCTGGGCTGCCATGGTTAGCTGCAGAGAAGCTCTTCACTGGGGCCTCTATGTTTGTGCAGTACCCTTTGGGGGAGTGCTGGTGGCTGCCAGGCAGGCCGTGGGCACCGGGCCCCACAAGTCTGGGGTCGGAGAACACATAGTCCACGTACTGCTGGGGCACCTCCTTCAGCACTGTTGCCTCTTCTGGCCCGAAGCTGGGTCCCTCACAGGCCACCCCGCTGATCTGGTGGTAGGGCGGGAAGGAGTTACCCGTTCCTTCGAAAGGTGGCCTCCCGGACATCGGAGGCACCATGCCTTTCCCTGTGAGGAAGAAGAGATAGTCACAGGCAGTGTGAATGGCTTGTGTCCACAGGCTGTTGTGTCCCAAGGATGAGGCTGTGCCACCATCTTCTCACTGTGGCCTGTGATGCGGTCAGTGAACTCATGCTGGGGGCAGATGTGGTGATCCTGACAAGACAGAAGCCCAGAGTCTGAGGGCTCACAGAGGCCCAGGAAGGCCAAAGGCAATAGCCAAAGGTGTCTCAGTCCTTCTGGAGTACAAATACACTCCACCTTTAAGGGTGCAGCTGACCTGGGTCAGCATCGCCCACCAACTCTGTTGCCCTGCAAGCCCTGGCACTTCCTGTTCACAGTGTCCCTTTTCTCATGATTCATGTTGGTTGCTGGGACTTCTGAAATGGCTGCCCCCTAACCCCCTAACCCAAGGTCCAGGATCTGCTCTGCTGCCTGGATGTCTGTTTTCACAACTAAACACTTCCTGGGGTTTTTTGCCTCCACTGAAATAAAATACACACACCAAATGCGACCATACAGAACCTGTCTAGAGCTCAGCTGACTGCCTCGGGCTGCGTCTTCCCTCCATCCCTACCCTCTGGGCTCTGGGATTCTCTTCCCATCAAGAAGAGCTGCAGGAAAGCTGGGCGGTGGGCTCCTGAACCTCCAGCACACACACTGCTCTCTTGTGCTGTGGCTGCTTGGGTCCCCTCTGCTCTCTTCCCAGACATGCCTTGACAGAGTGCTGTCTGTGGGCACCCCCACATCCACATCCACAGAAATCATGGCCAGATACGTATTTCTCTGCTCTAGGATTAAAAAAAAATGGCCTGTGAGCACAGTGCAAAAGGTCGCTGCTCCACAGTGGGGTCTGCAGCTGTCTTTGGCGCTGAGGAGAGACAGCCCCCAGGCTCGGAAGGGATGCTGTGTCTGATGCTGCTAAAGGGCAGTCCAATTAAAAACAGAAGGAACACAAACCATTGTGTCAAGTCGGCTCTGATGCAAGAATTGCCCCACAGGATTTCCAAGACCTTGAATCTTTTCAGAAGGCAGACTGCCTCACTGCTCTCCCCTGGAGTGACTGATGGGCTTGCACCAACATCCCATCCACTAGCAACTAAATGCTTAACCACTGCAACCCCAGGGTTCCCTGAAATCCAATACTAATCCCCTACCATTGAGTTAATCCTAAAGCACAGGGACCCTGTAGGGCAGGGCAGAAATGCCCCCAAGCATTTCCAAGGCTATCAGGAGGGACAAATCCCTGGAGAAGAAAAAGTGAAAAATCAGGAAAAGCTCAAGCACAGCAGCTTGTGAGGATGGAGCAGGGCTTGGTTTTGCTGTGTGCAGGGTCTGTCATGAATTAGAACCAATCTGATGGCACTTAACAATACAGAAGGCAGAACTGGTTATCCACTTCCAAAATCTCCCTTCCAGAGCTAATAACATATGAAAAAGTTATGGGAATATATGTAAAATCTAACTGGGAAGTCTCCCTTTCCAAAGGCCCAAGAAAAAGTACAGACCATTTTTTAGCTCTCTTATGTCTGCTCTATCCAGAGCACAAGTAATAAGTACTGGAGGCTATTTCTGATGGGAGGGGAGGAGACCAGACACACACCCTCCTAGGTCCGACACCAGCTGGTCTCCCCTTCAGGGGCCTCTTCTGCCAGCACAGGGAGCGGCCGAGCTTCATGGACAAGCCCAGGTCCTGGGGGATTGTGCCAAGCCTGCCCGCTGCCATGCCTGGACTGCCCTTCCTGCCAGCGTTGTTTCTGGGTTTACTCCACTGCCAACTTCTCACAGCCCGGCAGATCTGGGCTCACCTGGGTGGGTCTGTTTGACGACCCGCACGATCTGCTCGTTCCTGGGGTCCAGGTAGCCCATCTTACTGATGTAGTCCAGCGCGGCCTCAATGCTCCTGCTGCCCGTCTGCTTGAGCGCACGCACTGCCATCTCCTGCAGAGAGGTACATGTATGATCAGAGAACAGACTTCCACCCATGATTGTGCCCTGCTCTGCTCGAGAGCTACACACAACATAAGGCAAGAGTTAGCACAGCCGTCTTGCAGACTGCCAAGGATCACACAAAACTGTACCAAACCACAGGCCCGGTCCTGGGACCCAATGACATAAAGAACAAAAATAGAACACACACCCTTTGCCTGAGTGAGTTCTGGCTCACAGTGACCAAAGGGGACTGCCTCGTAGGGCTTCCTTCAGACAGAAGCAGACTGTCTCCTCTTTTTCATGTGCAGCACTCTGTGGGTCCAAACCACAGATCTTGCTAGCATTTCTCTTATTTTTGTTATTGTTGAAAACATGCACAGCAAACAATACATCAACCAACTCAACAATTTCTATACATATGACTTGGTAACAGCGATTACATTTGTAGAGCTGTGTAACCATCATGTCCTTCTTTTCTGAGTTTTTCCTCCCAGTGGACATTAATTCACTGTCCCCATGCTTCCTATCTAACCTTTCAAGCTAACCATTTCATCCCTGATAGATCATCTATAAATAGAGCACAATGCTCAAGGCAGGCATTCTTTGCAAATTAAGTTAACTATGATTTGGTTTAAAGACTTCAAGAGATAGTTTTGGCATAAGGCATAAAGGCATTTTTATGCTGGAAGTAAAAGAAACCTCAAGTTCTGCCTCTCCGTAAAAGATTCTAGTGAGATTCATGTTTGCAAAGAAACCTAAAACTGAAGAAGTGAGACGGAATAATGGCCAGAGAGAGTCTGGGGAAGGGCCTGCCTGGTAGACAGTATCATCCTCAGAGGACGAGGAACCGTGGGGGTTTTCTCCCAAAGGGAGGGCAGAGCTTGGTGCTCAAGAGTCATTTAAGAAGCACTTAGAGAACACCTACTGTTTGCACTGCCCTGTGCTGAGTTGTGATAGAAGACCTTAACCTTGGGAACTGGGTCTGGTAGGAGAAAGACAAAAGTAGTCGTGGAACAATGCCCAGACCTCCTTCTACCTCCTAAAAAGCCACCCCAACCTGTCTCTGAGTCGATTCCAACTCACGGTTCCCCTCCACTTGGTTTTGAGGCTGTAATTGTTTACAGGAGCAGAATGCCTCCTCTTTCTCATGGAGTGGTGGTGGATTTAAACCACTGAGAAGTTTAAGCCAACTTTGGGTTGCTGTTGTTGTATATCATCAAGTTGGGACCAACCCAAAGCAGATCCTCCAGTGGGATTTCAGAGGCAGTAAATCTTACAGGAGGAGACTGCCCATCCTTCTCCCACAGAGCAGCTGGTGGGTTCACTGTGCTTTTGGGATCACAGTGCAGCTTCTTTCCCCTAGGCCGCCAGAGCTGGCGGCTACCAATGCCTTACCCACAGCTCTCCAGTGTTCCTTCAGGCTAGAACGAAACACCAAAATCCACTGCGACAGAGTCAGTTCTGACTCCTAACAACCTTCCCCTGAGTGTGCAAACCTGAAACAGGCGCAGTTTCATCTTTCTCCCAGGGAGGGCCTGGTGGACATGAATTGCTGACCTTTCAGTTAGCAGTCCAGTGTGTAATCTACTATGCAGCCTGGGCTCCAGTTCAAAGCCATAACAGGTCCTTTAAAATTGCTCATTGGGAGAGTAAGAACCCCATAGGTCCTCCCGGTTACTGTCCTAAAAAGGTGACAAAGTTGAATTAAGAGTTCAGAGGAGACAAAATTTGCCCCACTCCCCTGGTGAGCGCAGGCACAGAAAGCCCACTCCTGACAGGTGAACCCCTCAGTACAGGCCCTGGGGGTGAGAATACAGTGATAGGGACGATGGGATGGCAGCGGTGTGGCAGTGATTAAGAGCTTAGTTTGTCCATGCGAGGACCTGGGGTACATGTCCTGGAGGCTGTGCCCTCGCTGAGTGAGTCACAGACACTTTCCAATGGGCATGTAGGGCAAGCTGAAGTCAGCTGAGTGGCAGGTACAGGATGCTGTAGGTGGAGGCACAAGAGAGCCCAGGGCCTCTCAGAGGAGGATCAGGGGGCCTGGGCTTTGGGGCCTATGGATGACAGGACCATGGAGGCAGGGGCTCCTGCATGGAGGCAGGAGGTATTGCGTGCAGACCACCTCAGAGCTTGTGCTGCTAGCCCAGGGGGAGGTTAGACGTGTCCAACCTGGCAGCAGGAGACAGGACCATGAGGGCTGTGAGCCAGGGGGAGTGTGCTCCTTGAACACAGGGAAAGGAACTTCACAGAAGCCAGTCCTTGCTTTCAAGAGGCAAGAATGAAAATAGAGTCAGCAAAAGAGGATTACAAAGAAGGGAAAAATAGTGGTAGCCGGAAAGAGAGGGCGTGTGGTGTGAGGGGAGCTTGGGACTCGGAAAGGTCATTTTCATTCCACAGGGGCAAAGGACTAACTGGGTGACGGTGAGGGGAGAGGCACTTGTGGCCGGGTACCAGCCCAGACTCTGCTACAGAGCCACCTTCAGCTGAGGAATCAGCAGAGCCCCCAGATAGAGACACAGGCTGCAAGTTCTGGGGTTCCCAAGCCCAGACAGGAAGACGGTGAAGCTAAAAGTAACTGACCCTTCCGACTTGGCTGGATTTCAAAGACAGATACATGTTCCACAGGCCACAGGTCAGCTTGACCCTGTCCTGCTCCATGACCACTGTCCCAGGATGGCCCGTCATGGTACCTGCAGCTCTTGTATACACGGTCAGTCTGTGCACCTGTCACTCACAGGCTGGGGGAGCCTCAGACCAAGTACAGCCCGGAACAAACTCATACACGTGTGTGTGTGTGTGTGTGTGTACACATACACACACCTACACTCATATTCTCTCTCTCTTCTCCGCTCCCTCCTTTTCTCTTCTCTTTCCCTCTTCACCAGACAGGATGGAGAAAGCAGGCTTCCCATGACTGGCCATGTGCCAGCCGGGTGGTGGGGGAAGGATGAGCCGAGACCACTAACAAAAATCTATAAAGGAAATAAGTACTGAACACAAGGCCACTGCCATCAGATGATGAGCTTGATGAAGTGGGCGTGGGTCACGTGGGCATGGGTCATGGCAGGGGGATTCCAGGAAGTGCCCCCTGGCCTGGGCAGGTCTGAGACACTGAGAGTGTGCATGAGAGGACCAGCCTGCATTAGGAGAACAGGAAGTTACAGTCTGAAGAGCGGTGACAAGGACAGAGCTGTTTTTAAAAGCTGACTGGGAGTGACAGAAAGGGCAAGTGTTTACAATGTGGAGAAGCAGTGGGCTCACCTGCAGAGGGGAGATGCTCCTCATCTCCCTGCTCCAGCTGTTGTGCGATGAGATCATGTCTGAGAAGAGCTCTCAGCAGCTCAGAGAAAGAAAGGATAACACCACACACTGCCGGGTTTGCCAGGAGCCCATTAAAGAACGGAAGGGGGGCCAGCCCTAACCACATGTCATGGCATACACTGTCCCATCTGCAGGAGCCCCACAGGGAGCCACCAGACTTATTAATTGTTGTTGTTGCTACATGTGGTCGAGTCACCTGTGACTCATAGCAACCTTAATAAGTACTGCAGCTCTGAAGCTCGCTCTGTCCTGAGCCAGTCTCACTGACTCTGACACACATGACCCCACTGTCCTACTCACTCTATCAGTCGATCTCATCTGGGGTCTTTCGCTCCTACACTGTCTCTCCGCCCTTCCAAGCATGATGATCCTTCTCCAAGGATCAGTCCCTCCTGGCCACATGCCCAAAGTATGTGAGATGGAGTTTCAAAATCCTAGCCTCCAAGGAGAAACCTGGTTTCACTCTCTTCAAAACAGACCGATTTGTTTTCTTGGTGGTCCATGGTATGCACAAGACTCTTAAAGGTATCAATTCTTCTTCTGTCATCCTTAGTCACTGTCCAGCTCTCTGATGCAGAGCAAATAATTGTAAAGACCATGGCATGGATCAGGTGCACCTTAGTCTCTAAACTGACACCATTGCTTCTCAGTACTCTGGAAAGGTCTTTAGTCTCCACTTAGTACCAAGTAAGAGCCATAGTGGCACACGATTAAGTTTTACACAGCTCTTCTCAGAGAAAGGCCTGGTTCTCTGCTCCCATAGAGACTGTAGCCCAGGAGAACCTATGGGGCAGTTCTTCTGTGTCAAAGGGGCTGCCAAATATTGTAATCAACTTGATGGGCCACAGAACAACAAATGCCAAGTAAACTGATCACCAACTGGCAGCTTAAATATCAGGCAGGGCTTGAGAAGCTGTTGTACAGTATTATCAAGCCAATTCCAACTCCTCAGGACCTGGCCCTGCGGACAAGAGAGCAAAACGCTGCTGGGTCCTGAGCTGGCCTCACATTGCTGCCGTGTTTCAGCCCATAGCTGCAGCCACTGTGTCTATCCATCTTGTTGAGGGCCTTCCTCTTTCTCACCAACTATCTTACCAAACACAATGTCCTTCTTCAGGGACTGGCCCTTCCTGAAAACAAGCCCAAACTAAGTGAGATGAAGTCATTCTGGCTGCACTTCTCCCAAGACAGACTTGTTCATCTTTTTTTGTCTATGGTACAGTAAATAGTCTTTGCCAACACTCTAACTCAAAGGCATCGATTCTTCCTTATTCACTGTCTAAGTTTAACAGGCATATGAGGTGACTGGAAATATTACAGGCATGGGTCATGTACACCTCAGTGTTCAATGTGACATTCTTTTTTTATTATTTTTTTTTGGTTTGTTTTTTATTTGACAAGCAGCAATATCATGTTTGCCATTTTAATGTAGATACAATTATTAGGTTATCTGTCATATTACAATATTTAGGGTTTTTTTACATTTTATGTCCTTTAAGAGACATTTAAAAACAAAACAAAACAAAAATACTGCAAACGTGACAGGGAGAAAAAGCATGGTACCCAACCAAATTTCCATTTTTCAGCAATACTTCACTCATTCTTTTAATAAAGTTTTAAGAAATGTCACAATGACATGAGCTTGAAATATCTATAGGCATCTTCCTGGGCACTCATGACATGGC